CCACAGGGGTCCCGACCCCCAGGTTGAGAAACACTGATGTATACATTGCTAGAAATGCTGTCACTCAATATTGTGTGCCCATTGGTTAAGCGGATGAACCCAGAAGGTGATTCTCCCCAAGGCTTCCTCTTCATCCTGGAAAGAAGTGACAAGTGGAGTGCCATCAGCAGGGTTCCGTCCTGGGCCCGGTCCTGCTCAGGATCTTGATTAATGACTTAGATAAAGGGTTAGAAGGCATGATCATCATGTTTGCAGATGACACCAAATTGGGAAGGAGAGCCAGTACTCCGAGGACAGGAGCAGAACTCAAAGGGATCTTAACAGATCAGAGAGAATGGGCCAAAACTAACAAAATGAAGTTCAACGGGGACAAATGCAAGATACTCCACTTAGGCAGAAAAAACGAAATGCAAAGATACAGAATGGGGGACAATGCCTGGCTCGAGAGCAGTACGTGGGAAAAAGATCTTGGAGTCCTCGTGGACAACAAGTTAAACATGAGCCAACAATGTGATGTTGCAAAAAAAGCCAATGAGATTTTGGCCTGCATCAATAGGAGTCTAGTGTCCAGATCTAGGGAAGTCATGCTCCCCATGCTCTGTTCTGCCTTGGTTAGACCACTTTACCTGGAATATTGTGTCCAATTCTGGGCACGACAATTGAAGAGAGATGTTGACAAGCTGGAATGTGTCCAGAGGAGGGCGACTAAATGATCAAGGGTCTGGAGAACAAGCCCTATGAGGAGCGGCTTAAGGAGCTGGGCATGTTTAGCCTGAAGAAGAGAAGGCTGAGAGGAGACATGATAGCCATGTATAAATATATGAGAGGAAGCCACAGGGAGGAGGAGGGAGCAAGCTTGTTTTCTGCTTCCCTGGAGACTAGGAGCATGGAGCAATGGCTTCAAACTACAAGAGAGGAGATTCCATCTGAACATGAGGAAGAACTTCCTGACTGTGAGAGCCATTCAGCAGTGGAACTCTCTGCCCCGGAGTGTGGTGGAGGCTCCTTCTTTGGAAGCTTTTAAACAGAGGCTGGATGGCCATCTGTCGGGGGTGCTTTGAATACAATTTTCCTGCTTCTTGGCAGAATGGGGTTGGACTGGATGGCCCATGAGGTCTCTTCCAACTCTAGGATTCTATGATTCTCAACCTGTGGGTCCCCAGATGTTTTGGCCTTCAACTCCCAGAAATCCTAACAGCTGGTAAACTGGGTGGGATTTCTGGGAGTTGTAGGCCAAAACACCTGTGGACCCACAAGTTGAGAACCACTGCTCTAGTGTGATGAGGTCTCTAGTTTGTTTGTGTCTCTCCACTGTCCTGTGCAGGTGCCTTGGTTCAGTTGCTCTCCATCTTCTCCCTGTTTCCTTGATGGTATCCTTTCTCCTTCCTTCCAATAGGTGGTGCTCTTAGCTCACTAAAGGAATTCCCATGATTGGGTTGTGTGTTTTCCAGACTGTCTTAGGCCTGTGCGGTTTCGTTCGTTAATTCGTTAATTCGTTATTAATTCGTTAATTTTGGCATTTCCGAAGCGATATTCAAACATATTACCAAACCCGGAAGGGTTTTTAAATATCGAACCAGCAACCCCCAGAGTTTTAACGAGCCTCCGCTTGTTTCGTTAATGGGGTGGAGGCTGCTGGAGTGCTGGTGCCTGGGAGCCAATCCGGCGCTCCCAAGCAGTGCACCATGGGTCCGTGGCTGTCTCTTTTTGATTGGCCGGCGAGCCCTTTCAAAGCGGCTCCGCGCGGCCCGTAGCTTGCTGCAGAGGGCGAGGGAGTTTGCATTGGGTTGGCTTGGCAATGGCTGCCTGCTAGCAACGAACTGGGATTGGATTCATTCCTTGCTGCTGTGAATGCTGCTTGCTTCATTTGCTGTCTCTTGCCTGTGTTTGGTCCACATTTGGGCCATTTTTTGGTTAATTTTCCATTTTAAAATATTTTTAATATTATTTTTATTTTTTTAATATTATTTTTAATATTATTTTTTAATATTATTTTTTAATATTATTTTAATATTATTCTTAAAAATTATTCTAAAAAAGAAAAGACTCTTCTGTTGGTGTGTGCTCTCATTTGCTGTATCCTGCCTGTGTTTGGTCCACATTTGGGCCATTTTTTGGTTAATTTTCCATTTTAAAATATTTTTTAATATTATTTTAATATTGTTTTTTAATATTATTTTAATATTATTCTTAAAAAATATTCTAAAAAAGAAAAGACTCTTCTGTTGGTGTGTGCTCTCATTTGCTGTATCTTGCCTGTGTTTGGTCCACATTTGGGCCATTTTTTGGTTAATTTTCCATTTTAAAATATTTTTTAATATTATTTTAATATTATTTTTAAAAAATATTCTAAAAAAGAAAAGACTCTTCTGTTGGTGTGTGCTCTCATTTGCTGTCTCCTGCCTGTGTTTGGTCCACATTTGGGCCATTTTTTGGTTAATTTTCCATTTTAAAATATTTTTTAATATTATTTTTTAATATTATTTTTAATATTATTTTAATATTATTCTTAAAAAATATTCTAAAAAAGAAAAGACTCTTCTGTTGGTGTGTGCTCTCATTTGCTGTATCCTGCCTGTGTTTGGTCCACATTTGGGCCATTTTTTGGTTAATTTTCCATTTTAAAATATTTTTTAATATTATTTTAATATTATTATTAAAAAATACAAAAAAATATTCTAAAAATTCGTTAATAATTACAAAATTTCTTAAATACCAAAACTTTTTTTGGAAAGTTTTGTAATTATTTTAAATATCGAAACAAAAAAACACCCCAATTACAAATCGATTTTAGAAACAAATTTTTTCTTGATCAAACAGGCCTAGACTGTCTGGCCAAGTCCCAAAAGCATTCTCTCCTGACATTTCACCTGCATCTATGGCAGGCATCCTCAAAGGTTGTGAGGTCTGTTGGAAACTAGGAAAATGGTTTATATATCTGTGGAATGTCCAGGGTGGGAGAAAGAACTCTTGTCTGTTGGAGCTAGACCATCAAATGCTAATCAAGGTGGTCAGTTGAAACATTCACACCTAGCTCCAGCAGACAAGAGTCCTTTGTCCCACCCTGGTCATTCCACAGATATATAAACCCATTTTCCTAGTTCCAACAGACCTCACTACCTCTGAGGATGCTTGCCGTAGATGCAGGCGAAATGTCAGGAGAGAATGCCTCTAGAACATGGCCATATAGCCTGAAAAAACTACAACAACCCAGTGATTCCAGCCATGAAAGCCTTCGACAATACAATTCCCATTATCATTTTTTTAAAAAAAATACAAAATCCGTTTAATTTTATTTTCTTATAAAGTTGCATACACCAAGAAAACGAAATATTCAGACTAGAATCCTGTTGATACATGGGCAGCATAATGTTGTGTTGTCATTGTTTTGTGCCTTTGAGTCATTTCCAACTGATGGAGACTTTATCTGATGGGCTTTCTGGCAAGATTCAGTCAGGCAGGATTGGTCCTTGCCTTCTTCTGAGGTCGAGAGTGTGACTTCCTCTATCTTAACCATCGTGATTAATTGTCTGAGTAGAGATGCAAACCTTGCTCTCCAGAGTTATAACCCAACACTCAAACCAGGATGGAGCTCTCAGAGATGTAGTTCTACAAGGTCTTCAGCCTGCTCTGATAAAGAGACGCTAAAGACCCCTACTTACTTACTAGGCAATCTCTCATAGCTCGAGGATGATTGTCTTCCACATATAGTGTCTTGGCTGTCGGTCCGTAGGTGGCTGTGGAGCCCTGTTCTTGACCCACATGTCCTCCTGCAGTGAGGACATCAGTTTCCAGGTGGAAGGTGGTCCCAGTCAGGGTTGGCTTGAGGCACCTTCCTCTTGGCATGTTTCTCCCTTTTGCCCTTCATTCATGCCTCTTTGAATTCTGCAGCACTGCTGGTCACAGCTGACCTCCAGCTAGAGCGCTCAAGGGCCAGGGCTTCCCAGTTCTTGGTGTCTATGCCAGAGTTTTTAAGATTGGCTTTAAGCCCATCTTTCAATCTCTTTTCCTGTCCACCAACATTCTGTTTTCCATTCTTGAATTCAGAGTAGAGTAACTACTTTGGGAGACAGTGATCTTTGGGCATTCAGAAAACGTGGCCAATCCAGCGGAGTTGATGGCAGAGGAGCATCGCTTCAATGCTGGTGGTCTTTGCTTCTTCCAGCACACTGACATTTTTCCGCCTGTCTTCCCAAGAGATTGATAGGATTTTCTGGAGGCAGCGCTGATGGAATTGTTCCAGGAGTTGCATGTGATGTCTGTAGACAGTCCATGTTTAGACATATAGCAGAGTTGGATCATAGCTTTATAAACAAGCCCCTTGGTATCCCTTCAGATGTCCCGGTCCTCAAACACTCTGTGCTTCACTCGGAAGAATGTTGCACTTGCAGAGCTCAGGCGGTGTTATATTTCAGTGCCAAAGTTGTAGAGAGGTGGCTGCCAAGGGAGCGGAAATGGTCAACATGAGCTTTTTGTATACTTTTTGTATACTTCTGAAAATGTGTTTAGAATGGCTTGTAGGTCTTCTTCTGAGTGCGCAGATATAGCATTGTTATCAGCATATTGGAGTTCTATAACAGATGTTGTTGTGACCTTGCTTCTGGCTTTCAGTCTGCTGAGATTAAATAGCTTGCCATCTGTCCATCGGGTTGATAGATGATTCTCTGGTAAGGAGAGGCTAAAGACCTCTTCAACTTAAGACCAAACTATAACTCCCAGGTTTCCCTAGCATTGAGACAAGGCAGACAAAGTGCTGTCACGCTACATTCATTGTACAGTGTCGATGCACCTCATATTTGGTGCTGTGAGCCAAGGTGGACACCACAATGGTCAAGTCCTCCTTGGGGCCAAGTTGAGAACAATAAAACCTCTTGCAATGGTGATTGTGGACATTTCTGGAATCCTGGAGAGCCTTGTCCCCAGTTATTCCAGTGAACACAATGACTTGACTAGGGAAGGATGTGTGCCCTCTCAGCTCATGCCTTTTCCTTCTGCAACAGGAGATGAACACCAAGGAGAGATACAACTCTTCAGCCAGGATCCGAGTCAATGTCCTGGATGGAGACGACCAGTACCCCCAGTTCCTGCCGTGCAACGTTCTGTCGCATGATGGTACCAGTGTTTGTGTCAGCCCCATCTACACCACAAACATCACAGAAGGGGAAATGAAGGTGAGGGGGGAGGGCAGTTGGGGGCAGCGGTCTTTGAAACAGAGATGGGCAAAATTGTTTTGGTTGGAATCCCACAATGACTTATCCAGAGACCATTAGGATCTTGAGATCGGTACACACACCTCTCAGGTATTTCTTGAACCTGAAGCAGAGTTTATCAACTCAAACCTCCAACCAATATTGAAGTACTGCCTATAGTATGTGAGCAATACTTGCAATAAACGATAACACGGGAGCTTCTTTCTGCAGGAAGGCTTTATCTTTTGTTGCAGCTCTTTACAGTATTCACAGCTCACTCCATAAGTCTCCAATTCACCGCACATCATCACATCACATATCAGGAAAGATGTCTCAGTAGAAAATACAATAATAGTTGGACCTCACCTCTGAGGATGCTTGCCATAGATGCAGACGAAACATCAGGAGAAATGCCTCTAGAACATGGCCATATAGCCCGAAAAAACCCACAAGAACTGAATACAATAATACTTGGGAAGGTAGAAGGCAGCCTTCTTCTACTACAAGGCTTGAATGAAAAGTAATGCCTCCACCTTCGTAGCTCCTCAATATATGGCAGTACTGGTATGTGGAAGGTACTGACTTGTTCAGTAGACTCTCCTCTACAGTTCCATTTTGGCAGGAAGCCTTAGCATTGAATGGTTGTGTTGTTAAAGTGTGAAGTATGGAGCCCTATGCAGGTGGTCGGTCAATGCGATTTAAGCAACGTGCAGTCATTGAATTCTTGACAGCAGAAAGTCTCACCCCAAAGGAGATTCATCAGAGATTGCAAGCTGTTTATGGTGATTGTGTTATGTGAGTACTGAGTGTCGCTGGGAGAGTACGTTTAAAGATGTTGAGGTGGGAACACCTGACTTGCGTGACAAACAAAGAGTTGGATGTTCTGTGACAGCAACCACTGAGTTTCACAAGCAAAAGGGTGACAGATTGAGTCAGGACAATCGTCGTATCACTCAGAGAGAAATTTCAAGCATAATCGGCACTTCACAAGAACGTGTGGGTCACATTATTGCTTTGATTGGCTATCAGAAGATCTGTGCACGATGAGTACCCAGGATGCTGACGCTTGAAATGAAAGCGCACGGACTTGACACTTCAGAGACTGGATCTCGACACCGTACGACAGTGGTTCTCAACCTGGGGTCCCCAGATGTTTCTGGCCTACAACTCCCAGAAATCCCAGCCAGTTTACCAGCTGTTAGGATTTCTGGGAGTTGAAGGCCAAAAACATCTGGAGACCCCAGGTTGAGAACCACTGCTGTACGACATCCTCCATACAGTCCAGATTTAGCACCATCTGACTTCCATCTGTTTCTGATAATGAAAGAAGATCTGCGAGGACATCATGATGCTTCTAATGAAGACATTGAGAGAACTGTGAGACGCTGGTTGCGGAAACAGAATGTCGACTTCTTCCATGATGGCTTCAGAAAACTTGTTCATGTATCCAATTGTCTGGTGATTATGTGGGAAAGTGAATAGTGGTAGTTCAAGAGCACATTCTAAGGATGATTTCTGCATTTGATTTATTAAAATATTCCCATCCAAACCCAAGTCACAAAGGTGGAGGCATTACTTTTCATTCAACCCTCGTATTATCTTATACACCTGACGCAAAGCTAACTTCAGGGTTTCATTATCCTCATGCTTAATCACTATAACTGTGACTCAGCACTTCAAATACTTAAAGTAACTCAGCATTTTATCTTCAAAATAGTATATTTTAAAACACAATATCCCTTCACTATTTTGAAGGTAACTACTACTATCTTAACATTTTTGTCACACAGTAATAATTTTTTTTCATTCCAGTACATAATTTTTCAGTTTTAGATTCAATTAATATTTACACTTGCATTTCTACAACACTTAACCCCAGACCACACAGCATTCAGCTATGTTACCTTCAGATTGACAATCTTCAGTCTTGTAACTTTCTGCTGAATTACTTTTCTAACTGAATTACTTTTCTAACTGTTTAGTTTTCAGTAGCGATACCATTTGTTCTGTTTCTTAAACATGTCTGGATTTACAATGCAGTTCTTACACTTTGCTCAAATGTTTTGTTTTCATTCTATCAATATGAATCCAGCACTTAAAATACTTGAAGTAATAATAATAATAATAATAATAATAATAATAATAATAATAACAACAACAACACTTTATTTATACCCCGCTACCATCTCCCCAAGGGACTCTGTGCGGCTTACATGAGGCCGAGCCCAAACACAACAATACAAGCAATAATAACAACAATACAAGCAATTAAAAACATAAACAATAAAATACACAAAATTATCAAGACAACACACAATTAAAAACAGTGGGAAGGCCAAATGTAGAGTTAAAATTGGAAATAATGCTGGGACATGGATGAAAGGTGATAGTGGCATTTGTGGAAGGGCATATGAGCAGACCTAAAGAAATGTAAAGTGCTTTGGAGGACAAAGTGCTATGGGATCATTATTCCGGGAAGGCACACTGGAACAGCCACGTCTTCAAGCTCCTCCTAAAGACTGCCAGGGTTGGGGCCTGCCTGATGTCTTTAGGGAGTGAGTTCCAGAGACGAGGGGCCACCACCGAAAAGGCCCTCTCTCTCGTCCCCACCAATCGCACCTGCGATGCTGGTGGGATCGAGAGCAGGGCCTCTCCGGATGATCGAAGAGATCGTGTGGGTTCGTATACAGAGATGCGGTCACACAGGTAGGCGGGTCCCAAACTGTTCAGGGCTTTGTAGGTAAGAACCTGCACCTTGAATTGGGTCCGATGAATGGCAGCCAGTGGAGCTCCTTGAACAGGAGGGTTGACCACTCCCTGTAAGGCACCCCGGTTAACAACCTGGCTGCCGCCCGTTGGGTCATCTGAAATTTCCGGGCCATTTTCAAGGGCAGCCCCACGTACGGTGCATTGCAGTAATCCAGTCTAGAGGTGACTAAGGCGTGGAACACTTTGGCCAGATCCGCCTTCCCGAGGTACGGTTGCAGTTGGCGCATGAGCCTTAGTTGTGCAAAGGCCCTCCCGGCCACCACCGACGCCTGAACCTCAAGCATAAGTGAAGAACCCAGGAGCACCCCCAAACTGCGGACCTGTGACTTCAGGGGGAGTGCAACCCTGTCCAGCACAGGTTGCCACCCTATACCCCGGTCTGGTTTACGATCGACCAGGAGGACCTCTGTCTTATCGGGATTAATCTTCAGCTTGGTCCTCCTCATCTAGACAGCCACAGCGGTCAGGCACTCATCTAGCACTCGAGGGGCCTCCTTGGAATTAAGTGGAAAAGTGTAGTAGAGTATCCAATAATTTTATCTTCAAAATAGGTTAGTATATTTTAAAACTCCAACAAGACCTGCCTTTCCTTCCTCTGACCCAATGTGTGTCTCTTGCAGACAGAACCCCTCCAATTCCTGCCTGGTGCCATCCACGCGGAGGATGGAGACAGCGACCTGAGGACACCTGTTGTCTACTCCATTCTTGCAGGTACGAGATGGATTGGGGGGGGGGTCACAGAGGGGGCAGCGATCACTGGGAATTCTGTGGTCAGTGGGTCTCAGTGCTACAGAAGGAACAGAGATGTGTTTGTGTGGCAAGAGGAACCACCTTTAGAAGGAGATGGGCCATTACTTGAGGTCTAGGGACTACATACCACCAAAATGATGATGACATTGATGGGGAGCATCATCATCAACATCATTGGTGTCACAGCTTATCAGAGAAGGATGAGAGGTGATTTGATAGCCATGTACAAATATTTGAGAGGAAGCCACAGGGAGGAGGGAGCAAGCTTGTTTTCTGCTTCCTTGGAGACTAGGACGCAAGGGAACAATGGCTTCAAACTACAAGAGAGGAGATTCCACCTGAACATGAGGAAGAACTTCCTGACTGTGAGAGCCGTTCAGCAGTGGAACTCTCTGCCCCGGAGTGTGGTGGAAGCTCCTTCTTTGGAAGCTTTTAAACAGAGGCTGGATGGCCATCTGTCAGGGGTGATTTGAAGGCAATATTCCTGCTTTTTGGAAGGGGGTTGGACTGGATGGCCCATGAGGTCTCTTCCAACTCTTTGATTCTATGATTCTTTGACCATAATTATGACATTGGTGGGGAGCATCATCATCATCATCATCATTGGTGTCACAGCTTATCGGATGTTATGTATTGACAAGAGTTTCAATTTTTCTGTGATTTGGATTCCATGAAAGAACCTAGAGAATCAGTGAGGGAAGAGGAGGAGAGGAAGAGGATGAAGAGGAAGTTGAGGAAGAATGGAAAGGAGGAGGAGGAGAAGAAGAGAAGAAGGGGAAAAGGAAGAGGAGAAGAGACAGAAGAAGAAGAAAGATTAGAAAGAAGAAAAAAGAAAGAAGAGGAGGAGGAAGAAGATGAGGAGGAAGTACAAGGGTTGAATGAAAAGTAATGCCTTCACCTTCATTACTTGGGTTTGGATGGGAATATTTTAATAACTCAAACGCAGAAATAATCCTTAGAACGTGCTCTTTAACTACCACTATTCACTTTTCCACATAATCACCAGACAATTGGATACATTTCTGCCAACAATGAACAAGTTTTCTGAAGCCGTCACGAAAGAAGTTGACACTCTGTTTCCGCAACCAGCGTCTCACAGTTCTCTTAACATCTTCGTCAGAAGCATCATGATGTCCCTGCAGATCTTATTTCATTATTGGGAACAGATGGAAGTCAGACGGTGCTAAATCTGGACTGAATGGAGGATGTTGTACGGTGGTGAGCTCCAGTCTCTGAAGTTTCGAGTCTGTGCTCTTTCATTTCAGGCATCAGCATCTTGGGTACCCATCGTGCACAGATCTTCCGATAGCCAAGCAAAGCAATAATGTGACCCACACGTTCTTGTGAAATGCCGATTATGCTTGAAATTTCTCTCTGAGTGATACGACAATTATCCTGAATCAATCTGTCAACCTTTTGCTTGTGAAACTCAGTGGTTGCTGTCACAGGACGTCCAACTCTTTGTTTGTCACGCAAGTCAGATGTTCCCACCTCAACATCTTTAAACTTACTCGCCCAATGACGCACAGTACTCACATCAACACAATCACCATAAACAGCTTGCATTCTCTGATGAATCTCCTTTGGGGTGACACCTTCTGCTGTCAAGAATTCAATGACTGCACGTTGCTTAAGTCGCATTGACTGACCATGCACAGGGTTCCATACTTTGCACTTTAACAACACAACCATTCAATGCTAAGGCTATTCTTGTGGGTTTTTTCGAGCTATAGGCCATGTTCTAGAAGAATTCAATGACTGCACATTGCTTAAGTTGCATTGACTGACCGTCTGTGCGGGGTTCCATACTTCGCACTTTAACAACACAATCGTTCAATGCTGAGGCTTCCCACCAAAATGGAACTATAGAGAAGAGTCTACTGAACAAGCCAGTATGTGCTGCATACCAGTACTGCCATCTGTTGAGGAGTTACAAAGGTGGAGGCATTACTTTTCACTTTAACAACACAACCATTCAATGCTAAGGCTTCCCACCAAAATGGAACTGTAGAGGAGAGTCTACTGAACAAGCCAGTACCTGCTGCATACCAGTACTGCCACCTGTTGAGGAGTTACGAAGGTGGAGGCATTACTTTTCATTCAACCCTCGTACTATAATACCAAGGTTTCCCACCAAAATGGAACTGTAGAGGAGAGTCTACTGAAGAAGCCAGTACCTGCCGCATACCAGTACTGCCATCTGTTGGGGAGTTACAAAGGTGGAGGCATTACTTTTCATCCAAGCCTTGTAATAGAAGAAGGCTGCCTTCTTCGTTCCCAAGTATTATTGTATTTTCTACTGAGACATCTTTCCTGATATGTCCAAAATACCACAGTCTCATTTTGGTAATCTTTGCTTCTAGGGAGAGCTCAGACTTGTTTTACTCCAGGTCCCATTGATACCCAACATGCCAAGCTTATACATGTCTTTCTTCCCTTCCTAGGGACTGACCATGGCTACTTTCACATGGACAACCTCACTGGGGCCATCACCATGTTGCGGCCGGTGGAGAGTCGGGTCTCTACTCCAGTGCATAGCCTCAGCATAATGGTAGGTTCTGCCGTTGGAGGTAAGAAGGGAACGAGGGATGGCAAGAGGATAAGTTCTGCACTCTATTTTGGGTTCGGCACCCCATTGCAGACCTATAGTGGAAAACTCCAAACTCTATTTCACAGGTTCCCTTAGGCTTATGAAAAATTCTGTGGTTGTATCCAACTACGGGGATATTTTTGTAAAAATAATGTATTTCTGCTTGAACACTGCACCAAACTGTTATAGACAATCATTGTCGTGTCACCTGGTGCAGTTTGCATCCCTTGAACGTCCTCGTTTTCTGAAAAGGAACATGTAGCAGATGTGAGAGGTGGATTGGTGATCACAACTTTCCAGTCATGTTTTCACCCTGGCCATGGGATGGAGTCAGTCCTGGTTGCCATTACAGATGAACTTCGTTGCCAGTCTGATAGCGGCAGATCGGCGCTACTGGTACTTCTCGACCTTACCACAGCATTTGACAGCGTTGACTATGATCTAATGATTCACCGTCTTGCTATGTCTGGAGTTCGCGGTCAGGCCCTTAATTGGTTCAACTCATTTCTCCGAAACCGGAGTCAGCGCGTGGAGTACTTGGATCAAGTCTCTGAAAGATCCCCCCTTCTATGTGGGGTCCCCCAAGGTGCAATTCTCCCCCCTTTTCTCTTCAACATCTATGTTAGACCCCTTGCTAGTCTGGCTCACAGTTTTGGCCTAGACTGCTATCAATATACGGACGACACCCAACTCCTTCTGTACTTGGAGCCTGGAGCAATGTCAATACCAGACAACTTCACCTTATGTCTGGAGGCTCTGTCAAACTGGCTACGTGCTAGCAGACTCAAGGTGAACCCGGCGAAGACTGAGATTCTCTAGCATGGCCGCCCGGTAACTTATCCGTTACCCACCTTCGATGGTGCCGCCCTATCTCCATCGACCACTGTTAAGAGCTTAGTTGTCGTCTTGGATTCGCAGCTGACAATGGAAGTTCAGGTCACTGCTGCCAGCAAACAGGCCTTTTTCCATCTATGGCAATTGGCACCCTACCTGTTGGATGAGGCTCTGGCAACTGTCATCCATGCCACAGTCACATCTAGGCTGGACCGATCAAGGGTCTGGAGAACAAGCCCTATGAGGAGCGGCTTTAGGAGCTGGGCATGTTTAGCCTGAAGAAGAGAAGGATGAGAGGAGATATGATAGCCATGTATAAATATGTGAGAGGAAGCCACAGGGAGGAGGAGGGAGGGAGCTTGTTTTCTGCTTCCCTGGAGACTAAGATGAGGAACAATGGCTTCAAACTACAAGAAAGGAGATTCCATCTGAACATGAGGAAGAACTTCCTGACTGAGAGAGCCGTTCAGCAGTGGAACTCTCTGCCCTGGAGTGCGGTGGAAGCTCCTTCTTTGGAAGCTTTTAAAAAGAGGCTGGATGGCCATCTGTCAGGGGTGATTTGAATGCTTCTTGGCAGGGGGTTGGACTGGATGGCCCATGAGGTCTCTTCCAACTCTGTGAGTCTATGATTCTATGATTCTATGACTATTGCAACGCCTTATATGTTGGCCTTCCGATGTCTACGACCCGAAAGCTCCGTATTGTTCAGAATGTGGCAGCCAGGTTACCCACAAGAACGCCCATGAAATGCCATATGACACCAGTGCTACAACACTTCCATTGGCTTCCAAACGATTGCCCTGGCCTGTATAAGATGCTAGTTCTGACCTTTAAAATTCTTTACGGTCAGCGTCCATCATACCAAAAAAGGGAAATGCGAAAGACTGCTCAAACTTCCGTACAGTGGCCCTTATTTCACATGCCAGTAAGGTAATGCTCAAGATCCTGCAAGGAAGACTCCAGCAATACATGGAGCGAGAGTTGCCAGATGTTCAAGCTGGATTTAGAAAAGGTAGAGGAACGAGAGACCAAATTGCCAATATCCGCTGGATAATGGAGAAAGGCAGGGAGTTTCAGAAAAACATCTACTTCTGCTTCATTGACTATTCTAAAGCCTTTGACTGTGTGGATCATAATAAATTGTGGCAAGTTCTTAGTGGGATGGGCATCCCAAGCCACCTTGTCTCTCTCCTGAGTAATCTGTACAAGGACCAAGTAGCAACAGTCAGAACTGACCACGGAACAACAGACTGGTTCAAGATTGGGAAAGGCGTACGGCAAGGCTGCATCCTCTCACCCAACCTTTTAACTTGTATGCAGAACACATCATGCGATGTGCGGGGCTGATGAATGCAAAGCTGGGGTGAAAATTGCTGGAAGAAACATTAACACCCTCAGATATGCAGATGACACCACTCTGATGGCCGAAAGCGAGGAGGAGCTGAGGAGCCTTCTAATCAAGGTGAAAGAAGAAAGCGCAAAAGCCGGGTTGCAGCTAAACATCAAAAAAACCAAGATTATGGCAACAAGAATGATTGACAACTGGAAAATAGAGGGAGAAACCGTGGAGGCCGTGACAGACTTTGTATTTCTAGGTGCAAAGATTACTGCAGAATGCAGACTGTGGCCAGGAAATCAGAAGACGCTTACTTCTTGGGAGGAGAGCAATGTCCAATCTCGATAAAATCGTAAAGAGTAGAGACACCACACTGACAACAAAGATCCGCCTAGTCAAAGCCATGGTATTCCCTGTAGTAACCTACGGATGTGAGAGCTGGACCTTAGGGAAGGCTGAGCGAAGGAAGATCGATGCTTTTGAGCTGTGGTGTTGGAGGAAAGTGCTGAGAGTGCCTTGGACTGCGAGAAGATCCAACCAGTCCATCCTCCAGGAAATACAGCCCGACTGCTCACTGGAGGGAAAGATACTAGAGACAAAGTTGAAGTACTTTGGCCACATCATGAGGAGACAGCAAAGCCTAGAGAAGACAATTATGCTGGGGAAAGTGGAAGGCAAAAGGAAGAGGGGCCGACCAAGGGCAAGATGGATGGATGGCATCCTTGAAGTGACTGGACTGACCTTGAGGGAGCTGGGGGTGTTAACGGCCGACAGGGAGCTCTGGCGTAGGCTGGGCCATGAGGTCACGAAGAGTCGGAGACGACTGAACGAATGAACAACAACAAATCATTAATTTCTGTATGTATGTATTTTTATCTTTTACAATTTAGCTTGTAAATCGCCTGGAGCATCTCAGATGGGGGGCGATTAATGAGTAATTAAATATGATGATGGTGTTTCAGGTCTTCTCTTCCTCATTGGTGCTGCCATACTTGTACCCATCATTGTTCTCCCTCCTTCTTGCTTCTTTTCAGGCCTTTCAGGTGAACGATGCCAAGAAATATGCTGTGGCGGAGGTCCGAGTGAGGGTCTTGGCAGCCAACCGCCAATCCCCGCACTTTGTACAGTCTCAGTATCAAGCCTTTGTTCATGAAGACGAGAACATGGCCTCCTTGGTGGTGACCTATAGTGGGCGAGTCTTGTTCCTGAATGCCATGGACATGGACTTTGCTGATGTGAGTGGTATGGGAGAGAAGAGGATGGGGAAGCTCTGGAGGCAGATGAATCCACTTCAACTTGTTGTTGATTTAGCAAAAGTTGGATCCATTTATATCACCTAGGTTCCAAAATTAGCAATACAGTCCTCACTCCACTTTTGCGGGTTTCACACTTGCATTTATGATTATTCGTGAGTTTGGAACATGCTGTCAACTTCCAAAGTTGGGGTTGCCATGTGAACATTTATTATAGCAGCCACATTTCCAGGAGGTAAGCCAGGTATGCTGTTTGTGGTTGGGCAAGCCAGATGTTAGTTTCTCTTTGTCTTTTTGTTTACCTGGGCAAAACAGCTTTGTAAGTCACAGGTAAGAGAAGGAGCCGTCTCTGCATGCCACTTCACTTACCCCATGGTTCCAGTTCATCTTCCTGTTCCTATTTGCCACAAATATCTTTTTCATTCAGGTAATAGAAGGGAGGTTCTGGCAGGACAGGAAGAAGAGGATGAACTGGATCCACAGGGTAAGTAATGTCATGGGTATTCATAGAGCCGGTTCCTCATTTTCTTTTTGTATTGATGTGTACCAAGCATTTCTGTTTTGCCTGGCATTCCTTCTTTTCCCCGGCTGAAAACACACACTTGCAGCATACAGAAAGAGAAAAATGGGAAGTAATTGAGGTGACACAAAGACCTGTCTTCTCCTCAGTGGGTAGCCCTTCACTTCCTGACTGCAATGGTTCACAGCTTCGCAGCTTGGGTGTAATCCTGGACTCATCGCTGAGCCTGGAACCCCATGTTTTGGCGGTGACCAGGGGAGGATTTGCACGGTTAAAGCTTGTGCACCAGCTGCACCTGTACCAGTTCTTTTTATTGCAATATCCAGTGTGAGAGGGTGTATCAGATTACAGAAAACATTTAGACAAAGTATGACATTGGACATACAGGCATACAGATTCTATGCAACTACATTGGATTTACAATTACATTGGTTAACAAACAAACAAAGGGGAATTACATTTTCACTCAGCATTCACACCACACATACATGCATTCATCCTCAGGCATTCAAATGTTACCATATCCTTTTCTCCCTTGTTGGAGAAGCACCTGCTAGGCCAGACCTTGCTTTCCTGCAGCCTGCCAATGCATAGTACCAAAACTTCAAAACGCCAAAACTTCAAAACGCCAAAATGCCAAAACTTCTTTCCCTAAGCACAATGCCAAGGACCAGATCTCTGTTTTCCATACAGCAGAACCTGACTCCCTGCACAAAATCTAAGACTCCAAAAGTGCACTTCTTCCTCTTCCCTTGAGAAAGAAGCCCCAAAGTGACCAGACTGCTCCTGTGCAGATCTGCCACTATTCTTAGGAACACTATCTCTCTTCTTCCCATGGAGCAGAGCATAGCAGGTGGAACAGACTCCTCCATAGGTACACTATCTCTCTCCTTCCCATGGAGCGGAGCATGGCAGGTGAACCAGACTCCTCAGGTCAGTCACACTTTGAGCATTATTAGATTGAGTCTTTTATAGGAATATTCTGCTGATGTCATCCCAAAGTTTTAAATTAATGACGGACATCTTCCATCCTGGCTCCATCTCAGTTTCCTGGCCAGATGTTGATCTTCTTGATTGGTGTTGATCTTATGTTGACTTCCTTCTTTACATAAGGAATGTTGCAAACATTTCCTTAACTTGACACGAACCATTTTCACAGTTCTTATCAATTCTCATTAGCAGGTTTTGATCACAGTTCCAGCAAGCAGGTAGCTAGTCATTGCAGGCCTTAATATTATACTGGTGTTTCCAAAATTATTAACTCCAACCACACATCCTTCCATTTATTCTCACACATCATATTAAATTCATATTTGTCAAATCTGCACATTGAATTTCTTGTGACAACAGTGGTCCACGCTCTGGTTACATCCCGTATAGACTACTGCAACGCGCTTTATTAGTGGACCAAGTGGAATGATATAGCTTCTCAATGCAAATATGCCATTTGCTATATCCCCTTGGGGTGATAGGGCAGAATATAAATAAATAAATAAATAAATAAATAAATAAATAAATAATAATTATCATCATCATCATCCTTGGGTTCCTCCAGAGTTTCAACCCCATGGTGCACTACAGTGCAAAATGCTTATCCAACTACATGAAGCTATATAATTATATCAGTAGACCCAGTAGGTTGACCAATCTCCTGAATGCAAAGATATCACGTTCTCTCTACTTGGGTTCCTCCAGGGCTTCAACCCCATGGTGCGCTACAGCCTGAAACGGCAATCCAACCACACCAGGCTCTTTCAGGTGACGCCCGGAGGTCTCCTCATTGCTCGCTCTGACCACCTGCGTGCTTTTGAGCGCTATGCCTTGCAGGTATGCCATGGGGCCTCCTGGTGTGGGGCTGGTCATCTAGTCTCAGGGCTAATATGGTTCACAGGAAGGGGAGGGATGGGCAATAGATGCCTTCTTTAGAAATGAAATCTATTGAAAATGTCCTCCCCATGTCCCACTAGTAAGGGAAATACATTGTGGGAGGGCAATGGGTAGGCCTTACCTGCTGTGGCACCTTGTTATGGCATTCCCTTCCTGTAGAGGTCTGATGGGGACCAACATTTTCATCATTTTGGCAACAAGTCAAAACTTTGCTTTTTCTTAAAAGCTTTGAATCTCGTTGAATTTATCCTTCATTTAGATCATTGCACGAGACGAGGAGTCTGGGGAAACCACCAATACTACAGTCAAGGTGGAAGTGCTGAGATTCGGAGAGGAAGGTATGTCAGGTTGGGTGGTAGTTGGCATGGAAAAATGGATTGGGGTGGGACAAGTATGTGTCCATTTCCCAACAAGATAAAAGTGGCATGTTGAACATTCACATGAGCAGCACTCTACAAGCCCCATCTGGCTCCATTCTATTGGTATTGTTTATTGTTTAAGAGAATGTTCTCAGTATCTGGCACTGTTTGGAACCATAACTTCTGATTCTTGGCCCAGAGGACATAATATTGCTTTTACAGCATTTCTAGCATAGCACAAATGACAGATCCCAGCAAAGAAGACAGACCTTGGGGTGATATTGTCAAAATGGAGTTCATTAAGCATTCAGCTGAATCTTTAATTCTTATTTTATGCTAACAGTATCTGAGGAGTGAATGTATGCAGGATAGTGAGAGTCAGGTGGGTTTCCTGCATCACGCGTATCAGATCAATCTATATAAATAAAAAGGTCATATTCGTTTGTGGGATTAACAGAACTCAAAAACCACTGGACGAATTGACACCAAATTTGGACACAAGACACCTAACAACCCAATGTATGTCCTTCACTCAAAAAAATTGATTTTCTCATTTGGGAGTTGTAGTTGCTGGGATTTATAGTTCACCTACAATCAAAGAGCATTCTGAACCCCACAAACGATGGAATTGAACCAAACTTGGCACACAGAACTCCCATGACCAACAGAAAATACTGGAAGGGTTTGGTGGGCATTGTCCTTTGGTTTTGGAGTTGTAGTTCACCTACATCCAGAGATCACTGTGGACTCAAACAATGATGGATCTGGACCAAACTCTACACGAATACTCAATATGCCCAAATGTGAACACTGGTGGAGTTTGGGGAAAATAGAATCTTGACATTTGAGAGTTGTAGTTGCTGGGATTTGTAGTTCACCTACAATCACAGAGCAGTCTGAACCCCAGCAACAATAGAATTGGGCCAAATCTCCCACACAGATCCCCATGTGGGCCACAGCAACGTGTGGCAGGGGACGACTAGTCTATATAAATAAAAATGTAATGTTTGTTTGTGGGATTAACACAACTCAAAAACCACTGGATGAATTGACACCAAATTTGGACACAAGACACCTCTCAGGCCAACGAGTCACCTTCACTTCTAAAAACACTGAAAAATACAGGGGGATCATAGAATCAAAGAGTTGGAAGAGACCTCATGGGCCATCCAGTCCAACCCCCTGCCAAGAAGCAGGCAAAAAAGACACTTAAAAAGCCAAAAAAGCAAAAAGATGCTACAGCACATGTGCAAAATGACTCCCTGCAGCAAACAAAACACACAATAGCATATCCACACTCTCTTCCAGAGTACAGCTCCCAGCATCCCCTAGACCAGGCCCTTTAGGAGAAGAGGATGATCCAAATGCACGGCTTCCAAGAGGAAAGCTTTCTTCTCCTTGGATTTATTTGAGAGCCTCCCAATCCCTGCATATTTCCAATTTCCTTTTCCTGGACTGCAACTCCCAGCAATACTCCAGATAGAGAGATTAGATAGATTAGATAGAGATAGATAATAGGCAGATAGATTGGTCAGGAGGACTTCTGGGAGTTGCAGTCCAAGAATAAGTAGAGAAGGAAGAAAGGGGGGAAAGAGGAAGAAAGAAAAGGGGGGAAGGAAGGAAGAAGGAAGAGAAGGAAGGAAGGAGAGAAGGAACGAAAAAAGGGAGGAGGAGGGGGAGGAAGGAAAGGAAGGAAGGAAGGAAGGAAGGAAGGAAGGAAGGAAAGGAAGGAGAAAAAGAAAAGAGGAGAAAAAGAGGGAGGGAAGGTTGGCCACAGCAATGCGTGGCGGCAGAGGCGTCCCTAGGTAATTTTCAACTGTAAGCAAACAGTATTTTGGCACCCCCCGACCAATCACGGATATATATTTTGTGTTGGTCGTGGGAGTTCTGTGTGCCATATTTGGTTCAATTCCATCATTGGTGGAGTTCAGAATGCTCTTTGATTGTAGGTGAACTATACATCCCAGAAACTACAACTCACATATGTCAAGGTCTATTTTCCCCCAAGAGCTCCTCAAGAGCGCCCCTGGGCAAAATCAACTATACTGCAAATGCTTACTTTGCGTAATGGGCCCCTAATTTGGTTCTAAACTCGTTTCATTTTTTTAAAGAATTCCGAAATTTTCCTTTAAAAAAGTTCGAAATATACGAAATTTCGTAAAATTACGAATCGATTCGTTAATGGCGGACGCGATTGCGCAATATGCTAAAAAACCCTCCAAATGGACAGGGGGAACTTCTGAAGCTTCCCTCTCCCTCTGTTGTTGACTGTTGGTGTGATAATTTATTTTTTATCACTGATAAAACAAACAACAACTATAAAACTTGCACCAGACATACGGAAATAATTACGAAACAATTTCGTAAACAATTTTGAACCAATTACGAAACAATTACGAAACAATACGAAATAAATTGGAAAAATTGTTTCGATTTTTAATTACTCCTCACAGTAGTCCTGCATGGCTCAATATTGGATCGTAAGCTAATTTAAATACGAATTAATAACGAATTACGAAATTAACGAATGAAACCTCCCAAGCCTACTGCAAATGCTTACTTTGCGTAATGGGTTGAGCCACCCCTGCGTGGTAATCAATAAATCTGACACACTCCTGTCATTTGACAATGGTGCCTCTAACCCTATTGAGAGCTCTCCTTCTGTTGAAAATCATAGCTGCAGAGGAATGATTTTTCAATATCAGAGAAGGAAAACGCTGAACACTCCACTCCTCATGCAGCTTAACCCTTATTGTCAATAGTCAGTGCTCAGATTGTATGTATATTCCTTCAGAGCAAAGAGTTGGACTGGTTGGTTCTTGTGGTCTCTTCCATCTTGAGGATTCTGTGATTGTTTCACTCTCCCCAATGCCTGATATTTGCGTTCTTTAATAATTGAGCATGAAATGCAAAGTCACATTTGTGGCTGCCATTCTGTATGTCGCCGTGTGAAATTTCTCCACACTGTTTGTTTCTCACAATGACAACATGGCTCTTTTCCTCCCTTGCTTTCCTTCTGATAGTCCCCCTGGATCCCGCGGATGCCGAGCACCAAGGCAGGCTGGACGCCGGGATCCTGGCCGGCAGCCTTGGGGCGCTGCTCTTGGTGACCGCCATCGTCCTGTTCCTCATTCTGCGCGCCATGAAGAAGAGGCAACGCCACCAGCAGAACATGGAGCGGGCAGCCCTGGCCATGGAGAAGCACCCCAACGTGGTAAGCAAGCAGAGAAGATGAGGGAGAGAGAAGAAGAGACAGGGAAGTCCTAGGTGTAGCGACATCTAGAAAGGGTTTCCAGACAGAGAACTGGAGAAGTCTCTTGGACCTTTAATTGTTATTTAGAAGAGGAATTTCAGGAGGTGTTACTTGTCAAGAAACCACCTGGGGAAATTTCACACAGCGACCTAACAGCCAACATCTGTTGAACTTCCCTCTTCTACACAACCATTAAATGAAAACAACTATCTCCAATTTTTACTCTGGGAACCCTAGATCTAGAAATATAACTTGGCCAAAGCTTGATGTCAAGAGAACTGTGGTTGGACCAGGGTGGCTTTGGCAACATGGAACATGCTTAAAAACAATTTCCATATATATGTACGCATGCATTGTTTAATACAACTGGTCATGGCCTCTCATTTGAAGTTATGAGCTGCTTCCACTGAAAAACACTGCCTAGGTCAATATTTCTCAAACTTTTCCAAATGTTTGGAGCTTCCAGAATCCATGACCTTTGGCCATGTTGGCTGGGAATTGTGGGATTAGAAGTCCTAAACTGGAAGCCCAGTGTTTGAGGACCATTGGTGTAGATCTGTGGTAACCAACCCTTGGTTCTCCAGGTGTTTAGGACTTCAACTCCCTGAAAACCCAGCCAGGTTGTCTAACTGACAGGACACCTCTGGAGCTCATGGAGGATGAAAGGTTGGGAACCACTGGTGTAAAAGATGATAGCCTATAGAATGTGGTTCTCAGCCTGGGATCTCCAGATGTTTTTGGCCTACAACTCCCAGAAATCCCAGCCAGTTCACCAGCTGTTAGGATTTCTGGGAGTTGAAGGCCAAAACATCTGGGGACCCCAGGTTGAGAACCACTGCTATAGAAGAATTTAGCAAGACTATGTTAGAAGAATGCTAGGAAGAGTCGGTATTCAGTTCTTAAACTACTATGCCATGCTGGTCCTTTCTGTCTCCATCTATGTACACATATATTTTTAAAATGGAAAGTGACTCAAAGGTACTAAGGTGAGAGTTTCAACCCATGAGCAGCTGGAGAACTATAGTTTGATCTGTAATCCAGTTCAGAGATCAGTGTCATGAGGTTCTCCAGATGTTCATGGGCTACATGAGTCTCCAGATTAGAGATTGGATTAGAGAAAATGCTGGGTCTTACAGTTCAGCACTATCTGGAGGGTCCAACCCTGGTGGTTTCAGTTTTCCTTTTCCCTAGACTTGACCTTAGGAGAGGTATGCTTTCCTTCACATTGGCTCCTTCAAGACTGGTGCTATAACTCCTGAATTATCTATCCTTCATCCTTCGCTTCTCCTGGATGTTGCAAGTTGGCCAAACCCTTCCGTTCTTCTTTCCCTTCCGCTATTCCTTTGCTGCTTTCTTTGGAAGTCATTGGCAACCTCTCCTGGTCCCATCCTGATTTCCTGACATCTGCTCCTCCCAGCCTGACCTGATCCTTGCCTTGCCACCATCAAGTCATGGGGGGGAACAATCTATTTGCAGAAATTTGAAGTTGTATTCAGGGTGATGTTTCTATCAATGCAATGACCTTGTCAATATGATTCTGTGAGGGTCTACATATGGAGAACCTTCAGCAAGAGTAAGTTCCTTTGAGACAATGCTGTGAATTGTGGTCACCCCCGAGAAAGGTTATGAGTCCATCTTGATGTATTTCCATGATATAAATCCTGAAGACATTGCAGTCATTGTTTACTTTCATTCTTGGAACTTGGGCCTAAGAAATCAACATTTTATTATTATTTATTATTTAAACTTACATGACATACTAGATCAGTGTTTCTCAACCTTCCTAATGCCACAACTCCTTAATACAGTTCCTTATGTTGTGGTGACCCCCAACCATAACATCATTTCTGTTGCTACTTCACAACTGTAATTGTGCTCCTATTGTGAATCGTAATGTAAACATCTGATATGCAGGATATATTTGCATTCACTGGACCAAACTGGGCACAAATATCCAACAATACAACCAAATTTGAATACTGGTGGGATTGTGGAGAGGATTGATTTTGTCATTTGGGAGTTGTAGTTGCTGGGATTTATAGTTCACCTCTAATCAAAGAGCATTCTGAAATCCACCAACAATGGAATTGAACCAAGCTTGGCACACAAAGAAGCCAACAGAAAACACTGGAAGGGGTTTATGGGCACTGACCTTGAGTTTGGAGTTGTAGTTTGCCTACATCCAGACAGCACTGTGGACTCAAACAATGATGGATCTGGACCAAACTTGGCACAAATTATTATATGCCCAAATGGGAACACTGGTGGAGTTTGGGGAAAATGGATCTTGAAAATTTGGGAGTTGTAGTTGCTAAGATTTATAGTTCACCTACAATCAAAGAGCATTCTGAACCCCACCAACAATCGAATTGGGCCAAACTTCCTACTGCGTTTTCTGATGGTCTTTGGCGACTCCTCTTATACTCCCTGGCGACCCCCGCAGGGGTCGCGACCCCCAGGTTGAGAACCACTGTACTAGATGCTCACAGAGCAGAGGGAAATTACGGTTTTCTGCCTTGATCCTAATAGATCTGGGGAAAGTTCCTTTTTTTTATGACAATTCCCAGCCAATCCTGGCTGCTGGATTCCATCTGACCATGAATTTTGGTCAGGTTTCCTAAAACGGGCACAATGCCGGTCAGGCTGCGGCATCTCCCCTCCTCTTATGTGTCTGTGCTGCGTTTCTGTTCACGCTCGTTCTCATGCCTTTTCCTTCTCTCTCTCTCTCTCTCTCTCTCTCTCTCTCTCTGTTTCTCTCTGGCTTCTCTCCCATCTTTCGCTCTCGGCTCGCCCTGCCATGTGACAGAGCTTAAAATGGTTCCAGCCGGTGAGTGTCCGGAGGGGAGGGGAAGGGTGTTGTTTGCTATGCAGTAGAAGCTCTCCCTCTCCCTGCGTGTATGTCGTCAAGCTAGAAAATGGCATGTGGGAAGTGGCCATGGTGTAAGGTATCAAAGGAGGGCTGAGTCGGAGGGACACAGGAAAGCTAAGGAGGATGCTGAGCTGGCACTCCATGTCCCCTGTCAATCAGTGGCTATTTGGGTTGAGGGAATGGGGCTAAACCCAGAGACATCCAACTGCCATTACACAGCCTGGGCAAGGAGGTAATGGTATGCACAAGGAGGTAATAGGTACTAAGCATTGCGCAAGGAGGTAATGGATACCTTGCATTGTACAAGGGGTAATGATTACCTTTCATTGCGCAATGAGGTAATAGGTATGTTACATTGCACAAGGATGTCATAGATACCTAACACTGCTCAAGTAGGTAATGGATATCTTGCATTGTGTAAGGAGTAATGAGAACATTACATTGCAGAAGAAGATAATAGATACCTAGCTTTGCATTGCACAAGAAGGTAATAGATATATTACATTGTACAAAGAGGTAATGGTATATTGCATTGCACAAGGGGGTAATGATTACCTTTCATTGCACAATGAGTAAATAGGTATGTTACATTGCACAAGGATGTCATAGATACCTAACACTGCACAAGTAGGTAATGGATATCTTGCATTGTGTAAGGAGTAATGAGAACATTACATTGCAGAAGAAGATAATAGATACCTAGCTTTGCATTGCACAAGAAGGTAATAGATATATTACATTGTACAAAGAGGTAATGGTATATTGCATTGCACAAGGGGGTAATGATTACCTTTCATTGCACAATGAGTAAATAGGTATGTTACATTGCACAAGGATGTCATAGATACCTAACATTGCACAAGGAGGTAATGGATACCTTGCATTGTACAAGGAGTAATGAGAACATTACATTGCACAAGGAGATAATAGATACCTAGCCTTGCATTGCACAATGAGGTAATAGATATGTTACATTGTACAAAGAGGTAATGGTACATTGCATTGCACAAGGGGGTAATGATTACCTTTCATTGCACAATGAGTAAATAGGTATGTTACATTGCACAAGGATGTCATTAGATACCTAACACTGCACAAGGAGGTAATGGATATCTTGCATTGTGTAAGGAGTAATGACAACATTACATTGCACAAGAAGATAACTGATACCTAGCTTTGCATTGCACAATGAGGTAATAGGTATGTTACACTGCACAACGATATTATAGATACCTAACACTGCACAAGTAGGTAATGGATATCTTGCAATGTGCAAGGAGTAATGAGAACATTGCATTGCACAAGGAGATAATAGATACCTAGCTTTGCATTGCACAAGGAGGTAATAGATATGTTACATTGTACAAAGAGGTAATGGTACATTGCATTGCGCAAGGGGGTAAAGGATATATTGCATTGCGCAAGGAGGAAATGATAACTTTATATTGAACAAGGAGATAATAGGTATCTTGCATTGCACAAGGAGGTAATGTATACCTCCTTGCACAACATACAGAGAAATGCTTATATTATCACAGCCTGCATGTATGCTAATATACTGTAAATCTTGAATCTAAACCTATCTAGTTAAGAAAACATAAAGCTTTAAAAATGGTCAATTGTAATGATCAGTAGTGAGTGCATCTGACTATGGAAGAGGAGTCTGTTGGATTCACCCCATAGGTGATCTTTTTGCTTTAACAGTATAAGATCCTTCTCGACCCTCAAGAAACATGTTTTTGGATCATTTTTAAAATAATCTTTCAAATAATTTCCCCATTTTTTATCAACCTAAATAGTGAACTTTCTTCTTTGACAGCTAGAGGGCACGAGTAGACTGCTTGTGTAGAAACTAAGAACAAAAACTTTGATGGCCGTGTAGAAGAGGGAATTTAAAAAATATGTTTTTCATTGTGCTATCAAACACATCTCCTCAAAATCACTCTTCTCCCAATCTTTGAGGGTACAGGAGCCATCTCCAATGTTCACCCTGGAAACCCATCTTTTGCTAGGGCTCACCAGTTCCTCTGTCTCCTCATTGTCACCTCCTGAAAGTGTTGGGGAAAGACCTGTTTTTTGCTTCCTCTGTGTTTTCTATTACATGTTGCTTTCTATTCCACTTTCAACTTCCAAATTTCAACAAAATTAGAAAAATTTGGTACCTTCCTTGACAATTGGTTGAAATTGAATCCTCCTCCATGTGGACCAAGTCAAAATCAGGCAGCCCAACAATGAGTCAGTTCTTTCTCTCTCATTCATATATATAGAAATAGATAGTCGCTCGGATAACTCGTTGCTTGTAATAATTTCGTTAAAATTACGTTTTCAAAGCAATATTGAAGCTTTTTTAAAAACAGGAAGTCCCTTTGCCCTTCCAAACTTTTTCCGCCATTTCTGTTACGACTCAGGAAGTGAGTCAGAAATTATTCAGCTTTTCCCCGCTTCTGGTCCCTGGCCTTGACTCAAGCCAGAGAAGCCAGTTTTAAACCAGAGAAGGGAGGAATTTCCTGGCCTCGGCTCAAGCCAGAGAAGCCAGTTTTAAACCAGAGAAGGAAGGATTTTCCTGGCCTCGGCTCAAGCCAGAGAAGCCAGTTTTAAACCAGAGAAGGAAGGAATTTCCTGGCCTCGGCTCAAGCCAGAGAAGCCAGTTTTTAAACCAGAGAAGGAAGGAATTTCCTGGCCTCGGCTCAAGCCAGAGAAGCCAATTTTAAAGCCAGAGAGCCAGTTTTAAAGCCAGAGAAGGAAGGAATTTCCTGGCTTCAGCTCAAGCCAGTTTTAAACCAGAGAAGGAAGGAATTTCCTCTGCTTGCTTTTCCCCGCTTCTGGTCCCTGGCCTTGGCTCAAGCCAGAGAAGCCAGTTTTAAACCAGAGAAGGAAGGAATTTCCTCCGCTTGCTTTTCCCCACTTCTGGAGTAAAATGGCCACTTTCAAAGTAAAGACCACCCAATGAAACACGAAATAACACTTTCAAATCATTAATGAAAGGATTCGGAAGTCTCGGAAGTTTTGAAAAGTTTTGAAATTTATTTTCTGTGAAAATCAGAATTGACTTTAGAATTGAACTACATTCAAAATGTGTATTGAACCATTTTTGATCAACCAAGCCTAATATATATGTACCACAAATTCAGATAAGAAAAAAGCTCAAATGATGTTCTCATCTGTTTTATTACACCAGTTCCCTTCCATTCTCTCTTGGCTCTTTCCCTATCTTTTTTGGACCATTTCCGAAGAAAACACCAGCAGCTAATTTGAAGCCTCCTATGATGCATGTCCCTCTCTGAGCTTGGCAATATGCCCTTTTGGCTTGGTTGGGGAACATGCAGCTCCAAGGAAGAAGAGGAGAAAGAACATTGGTGGGCATTAAGAGTGGGAAATGTGAGTTGAACATGTGGTAGATACTAATCTGTCTCCTCTTGGCCTCCATTAGATTAAATGTGAAGAGGAAGCAAATTGAAGGAAGCTGGTGAGGAAAAGAAGGAAGCAAAGCTTAGAAAAATCCCCTCTCTGGAATACAGCTTCTGGAATCTTCCATAAAGCATGGCCACTGGGATTTGTAGACCCCCATGTGACCTTTTCCTAAGCTCTGATAGGGGATAGGTGTACCTTGTAACCACTTGCGGAGGAGACTGATCAGTATCTAACTTGTGATTTCCACTAATTGGAGAATGACCCAGGAAGGGTTTGTAGACACCTAAGACTTGGACTGACAATTATAGTCATAAAGGACCATCCAGTCTAACACCCACCAATGCAGGACCCTTTAAATCATTCCTCTTTCTCATTGTTGTCCTCTGTGTTTCACCCCTTACAGGTCAACGCTGGGAAGACACTTCCCAACCCAGGGAACATTTATTTCCAGAACGAGGGCTACAGCGACCTGGGTGATGAATTGCCCAAGACCTACGAAGGACAGACCGTGAACTACAAGCAGGCTTCCACAAGGAGTGAGAGAGATGTGGCAACCAGGGACACTGTGGTGGCCAACTCAGTGGGCAAGTTCAACAACCAGGGAGGCCAGGCCAAAATGAACCCGGCCCCCAAGGAGCAGGAGGAGGGCATCAAGGCAGCTCTCCTTAATGGCAAGACCCTCGAGCAACTGGGTAGTATTCCTCCGTGTCCAGAAGAAACAGTCTTGTCAAAGGACTCCCAAGTGGGAGAGGCCCTGGTGGAAGCCCAGCCACTGGTGGAGGCCTTGGTGGAGGTCCAGGTGGTGGGAGAAGAAGACAAGGAGGTTCTTCCTCCTGAGACCTCAGAGGGCAATGAGGAAGAGCAAGTAGAAAGCACCTCTGGGGAATTGGAGGAAGCATCTCTCCAACCTCAGCTACTGAAGGAGGAGGAAGATGCTTGGTCTTCACAGGAAGGCAAGATGGAAGCCAATGGAGACACAAGCCCAATGGGGTCTGTTGCTGAAGGTTCCCCCACTGATAGTAACTGCCTGGACAGTGAAGGGGGCAAGGAGCACACAAATCTCACAGAAGAGGTCAACGGGAGTGTGACCGCTTCACCTGTCACCTCCGACATCAACACCACAGTAGACCCGGAAATCAATGACACAGCCAATGTCACCGATACAGTAAACCTGGAAGTCAATGACTCCCTGCCCCGAAAGGACCCTGTGACCCTGCTGCCGACCCTGAAAGAGCTCCCCAAGCAGCTCTCGGAAGAAGAGGACGAGGACGAGGAGGATGGGGAGCTGACCCCGAAAGCCATGTCGCCAACATATCAAGACCCGCTGGCATCACTGCCCGTCAGTGATGTCAGGATGCCAGTGACTCTTTTGCAACTTCTGGAAGACTCCATAGAGTGCTAGTCTGCCCTGGATCCCCTTTACTATGGGGCAGGGCCAGAGAGACTGAGGATGGACTGCAACTCCTCAACACAAGAGATGTTGGGCCCTTGTATGGTCTTGATGGGTGTCGCCTGGATTCCAAGACTTGGGTTGAGGCTGCGAGGACTCAATTTCTGACAAAAATGCACACTTTTGAAAAATTCACTGGTTTGCCAGGGATGAAAATAGGTTGTTTTCCCCCTCGTTGCCTGTTTGATGCCCTTTTATAGAACTTCAAAGCACAGGATAGAACCAATACCTTGCAGCTGGCGGGTAAGCCAAGGGCAGCCATTTTGGACTACAGGGGTAGCGAAATTTTCACTCCATGTCTCCTTTTCCAGTGGGCCACAATGTCACATTCAAGGTGCACATACACTATAGAATGAATGCACCTTGATGGCACTTGAACAGCCATGGTTCAGTGTTATGGAATCCTGGGATTTGTAGGTTTATTTGGCAGAAAAGGCTAAAGAACTTATAAAATTACAATCCTAGATGTCCATAGTATTGAGCCAAGGCAGTTCAAGCGGTGTCAAATAGGGCGGTTACGTTTGTTAATTTCATAATTCGTTATTAATTCGTTATTTTTTTTGGTAACGAAGCGATATTGAACCATTCAGGAGCAACTAAAAATCGAAACGAATTTTTCAATTCGTTTCGTAATTGTTTCGTAATTGTTTCGAAATCGTTTCGAAATCGTTTCGAAATTGTTTTGTTATTATTTCCGCATGTCTGGTGCAAGTTTTATAGTTGTTGTTTGTTTAATCAGTGAAAAAAAATATATATAATTATCACACCAACAGTCAACAACAGAGGGAGAGGGAAGCTTCAGAAGTTCCCCCTGTCCCATTTGGAGGTTTTTTTAGCGTATTGCGCGGTCTTGTCCGCCATTAACGAATCGATTCGTAATTGTTTCGTAATTTCCGAAATTTTGTAAATTTCGAACTTTTTTAAAGAAAAATTTCGGAATTCTTTTAAAAATCGAAACGCAAAAAACCCCTAAAAACTAATCGAGTTTAGAAACAAATTTTTCCGTGGTTGCCCAGCCCTAGTGTCAAACTGCATTCATTCCCGAGTATAGATGCACCCTAAGGCCCACCAGAAAGGTTGGTATTTTGCTTTTTGGATGCCATGTTGGCTCCGTTTCAGCTGTTTCATTAGCATTTTGGGGTGGGACCTGGGGCTTCCTGAGGTAGCGAAACTATACGGACACATTTGCCATATTGGGGGTGAAAAACCCAATGGGGAATAGGTACCTTTTCAACATTCCTTTGGAGGGCAGTAAGTGTTCAGGGACTGCATAATTGTGGTTCAGGGCCACACTTTTCTCACTCTAGTTTATAGCTTATTTAGATTTTTTTACTCCTAAATTCTGAGCATTTTCCCAGCTTATTTTACCCCAACATCTCAACAGTGGCATGCAAAGTGGCGTCCCTTTTTTAATATTAGGAAATACAGAACAATTCTCTTATCTACAGACTTCCCAGACGTCTTTACGGGCCTTTGTAGGTTCTCCACTGCAATTCTATGGTATGCCTGTGTCATGAATGACTTTTCAATAACTTTAAAGCATAGGTTTAAATCACAGGAGATATGATAGCCATGTATAAATACATGAGAGTAAGTCATAGGGAGGAGGGAGCAAGCTTGGTTTCTGCTGCCCTGGAGAGTAGGACGCAATGGAGCAATGGCTTCAAACTACAAGAAAGGAGATTCCATCTGAACATTAGGGAGAACTTCCTGACTGTGAGAGCTGTTCAGCAGTGGAACTCTCTGCCCTGGAGTGTGGTGGAGGCTCCTTCTTTGGAAGCATTTAACAGAGGCTGGATGGCCATCTGTCAGGGGTGCTTTGAATGCAATATTCCTGCTTCTTGGCAGAATGGGGTTAGACTGGATGATGGCCCATGAGGTCTCTTCCAACTTTATGATTCTATGATTCTAGGATTCTTTTTATTGCAATTTCCAGTGTGAGAGGGTATATCAGATTACAGAAAACATTTAGCCAAAAAATGGCATTGGACATACAGACATACAGATTCTATGCAACTGCATTGGGTGTACAATAACTTACAGTTACATTGGACTAACAAACAAACAAAGGGGAATACATTTTCACTCAGCATTCACACCACATGTACACGCATTCATCCTCAGGCATTCAAATATTCTCATATCCTTTTCTCCCTCCTTGGAGAAGCACCTCTTAGGCCAGACCCTGATTTCCTGCAACCTGCCAACATATAATTCCATAATTTCCATAACACCAAAACGTCAAAACGCCGAAATGCCAAAACTTCTTTCCCTAAGCACAATGCCAAGGACCAGATCTGTGTTTTCCATACAGCAGAACCTGACTCCCTGCACAAAATCTAAGACTCCAAAAGTGCACTTTTTCCTCTTCCCTTGAGAAAGAAGCCCCAAAGGGACCAGACTGCTCCTGTGCAAATCTGGCACTCTCCATAGGTACACTGTCTCTCTCCTTCCCATGGAGCAGAGCATAGCGGGTGGAGCAGACTCCTCAGGTCTGCCACACTTTGAGCATTATTAGACTGAGTCTTTTATAGGACTATTCTGCTGATGTCATCCCAAAGTTGTAAATTAATGATAGACGTCTTCCATCCAGGATCCATCTCAGTTTCCTGGCCAGATGTCGATCTTCTTGGTTGGTGATCACAAACACAAGGCTTGTGTTGACTTTCTTCTTAACAATGTAAACATTTCTGTTATCACTGTTCCAGTTCTTATCAGAGTTTACTCTTCAGTTCTTATTAACAAGTTTTAATCACAGTCCAGAAAGCAGGAAGTTAGTTAGTTATTGCAGGTCTTAATATTGTACTGGTGTTTCCAAAATTATTAACTCCATCCATACATCTTCCATTCATTCTCACACATCACTATTAAATCCACATTTATAAAATCTGCACGTTAAATTTTAATGACACTTGTAGCCCAGATAAACGGAGAGATAGGGCACAACATGATCCGTGGTTTTAGGTTCCTCCCACCATGTTCTACTGTTGGACTGTCAGGAAGTTCTTCCTAATGTTTGGGTGGAATCCCATAATTTGAACGCATTGGTTCATGGCGCAGTCTCTGGAGCAAGAGAAAGCATGCTTGCTCCTTCACCTATATTACAGCCTTTGAGAAACATTAAACTCTCGTATTCATGGTCGATACATTCCTGAACTTAGCTCAGATACAAGAAGCCATAGATCAAAATGAGCTCTATTGAAAAAAAGGGTCTCTCATCCAAAAGTATCATAAAGTTGCACTGGAGGACCTAGAAAATGTTTAGAGAGGATAGCATTCATTGGATGTGGGCAAAAAAAAACCAAAAAGAACCCATGGGTACAGGTCCCATGGACAATGTATTAAAAGATAACTGTTGTATCACCTCTCCAAGACAACACATGTTGAAGACAGCTGTGTATGATAGATGCCTTATTTGTTTGTGTGATGTTACAGAAGGAATCAAGATGAGGGGTGGAATCTAGGCCCCTTCCTCCTCACAAAGCCCCAATCCATCCTTATTTTCCCAGTTTCTATAATATTGTGTGAAGCAAATTGGGAGAAGTTTCTAAAATGCAGATCAGAAGATACCCACTTGTTCTAGGGCACTCCGCCCCATAACTCAAGAAGAACTGTAGAGGTTCCTCACCCACTATGAGATCTACTGTTTATCCTCTTTACTTGCCCATTTCCTCAGACCTTAGGTTACTTCTCCAAACCTACTAATATTAAGTTGTCTACTATTCGCCTTTGAGAAGGAGATTGCATTCAAGGTGGTTGAGAAGATGGAGAACTGGGTTGAGTCTGTTTTCCATTTGTCCCACCAGCATCTTCCTGGTTTTACCCTTAAGTAACCTGTTTGAGAAAATTGCAAAAGGGAGAGGGGGGATTTGCAATGCAAACGTGGACAAAGAACCATCTTTGTGCTCATCGTTCTCGTATCTTGAGTTAGCAAGCTTTTTGTTCCTTGCTCCCAAAGTCACCTCTGAATGAGAAGAAGCAAACATAAGTCCTTGGATATCATCTCTGCCATCTCCTTGTCTATTTATATTTTCCAATTAAAAATGTTTTAAAATAAAAAGTGTCCCATGACTTTTGTACCATGATGCCTGGAGGGGGGAGGCAGGGGAGAAATTTTGGTCACTGCAGAGCAAGAGGTGGCTACCAGAAAACTAAGCCTTGGCCATCTTGGATGAAGACCAACCAGAGTCATTCTGATGGCCACCAAATGATGAGTGAAAACTAGCCTTGGAGAAAGAACAGCCCTAGCTATAATAAGGGCCACCAAATGATGAGTGAAAACTGAGTATCAGCTGTCCAGGGGTTAGAAGAATTGGAGTTATAATGATAGCTGCCAAATGAGTCTTGGCCACCTTGTAGTAAAGCCAACCTTGGTTATAATTTTTGTGTGTGTGTCAGGAGCAACTTGAGAAACTGCAAGCCACTTCTGGTGTGAGAGAATTGGCTGTCTGCAAGGATGTTGCACACGGTGTCATGAATGACTTTTCAATAACTTTGAAATAACTTCTTCCTCTTCCCTTGAGAAACAAGCCCCAAAGTGACCAGACTGCTCCTGTGCAGATCTGCCACTATCCTTAGGTACACTATCTCTCTCCTTCCCATGGAGCGGAGCATGGCGTGTGGAACAGACTCCTCAGGTCGGCCACACTTTAAGCATTTTTAGACTGAGTCTTTTATAGGAATATTCTGTTGATGTTGTCCCAAAGTTGTAAATTAATGATGGACGTCTTCCATCCTGGCTCCATCTCAGTTTCCTGGCCAGATGTTGATCTTCTGAAAACTAACAAAATGAAGTTCAACAGTGACAAATGCAAGATACTCCACTTTGGCAGGAAAAATGAAATGCAAAGATACAGAATGGGGGACAATGCCTGGCTCGAGAGCAGTAC